CAGCTGAAACTGTTGGGGCAGAGGCGGAGAAAGTAAGGTTAGCAGAGCAGGAGAGGAGAGACGATTGCGGGATCAAAGAGCAAGGGGGCAGCTGAACTAGCTAAGTCTGCAGGATGGAAATTTGGGGGGGAAGACTGCTGGTGGTTGGGTGCATCCCAGTTGAGTAACGGAGCTGCGTTTGCTTCTGAAGGCCACTATTCTGAGCTGTTTCTTTGTGGTCGGCAAGTACCAGCACACTGACTAAGCAGGTGATCAAGTAGAGTAGCAGCAAGTAGGCCGATTGGCAACTATTGACAACTAATGCAGTGTAGGATATGATGGGGCTTTGGATGGGATGGTCCCAATGCCATGCTTCCACCTCGAGAATATAAGCAGAGCTGGATGCAACAATGCACATTGTATTCGTAGGCGAGACATGCATTATTTGGAGTTAAAGTATTGAATGTTTTTTATGATACAAAGTGGTGATCGCAGATGTATTTTGCCAGTTATGTTCATTCATTGCTTCTGTTTATGGAGCAGTGGAGAGGACAGCAGGCTTGTTGAATGGCATTGGGCTCTTTCCTACTCTCTTGTGCACCAGCATTGGCAATACGGTATCCTTCCTTCACTCGCTTCTGATCTGAGCCCTCCTCGCTGCAAATGCAACACACCCCTCCGTTGCTCACACTCCGCCTCAGCCGTCCTGTGTTGAACACTTTGCTGTCTCCACTTCGTGCAAGTGGATCTCCTCCTCATCAACCCCCATGCTCATCAACCCCCATGCTCATCAACCTCCATCCTCATCAACCCCCATCCTCATCAACCCCCATCCTCGTTAACACGACTGAGAGAGAGAAGTTGAATCAACTTCATATTCATTGGTTCATGCTGTTACGAATAGTTATTATTGAAACACTATTGTGCACTCCTCACCGCAGCAATCGAAGCACGCACTACCGAGAATGATGGCGAAAGGGCGGAAGAGACGAGCGGCTGGGGAGCCTTCCGCGAGGACCAAAGGGGGGAAGAAGAAGAAATTGAGGAGGCCATTGAGGCCGAACCTCCTGTTGTTCCTCTTGGTCGTCCTCCGCGCCGCCCTGCACCCGCACTGCCCCCACCTGACATCCCGCCGGGAAGTGACCCTTGGGACACCATCGATTGGGAGAACGAGCCGTCAACCCCGCGACGCACCGTCTACGGGCCTGCCCCCGAGCCGCGCGAACCAACATTCTTCCCGGGAACCATCCCTGGAACCAATATTCCCCTCTCCGTTATGCTTGACAGGGAATTCCTCGCGCTAATGTTAACAACGGCGAACGGAGAAGAAGAAGCAGAAGAAGCAGCGGCGACACCTGCTCCAGCACCTGATGAGGATCATGCAGAAGCACTCGCGCGCTACATGCGCACCTCCGGATTCCGCGCTGACGATGCCCTCTGGCACCAGCGCCTAGGTCATCCCTCGCGCGTAACTCGCAGAACTGCATCGACGCCGGCGTATTTGCGCCTGGCGCACTTCTGCGCCCTGATGGCACCGAAGTAAGGGGCGCGACACATCCGCGCAACTGCACCATCTGCCCCGAAGCCGCGTTGAGCCACCGGCCGTTCCCCCTGCTAGAGCCCGGAACCAACCGCTACACCAAACTGGAGAAGGTGTACAGCGACTTCCTCAACGTGGGACACTGCGGCATAAACGACGAACTCTACACGCTCACCTTCGTCGACGCCGGAACGCGCTACGTGTGGGTCGTGAACGTGGAGGCGCGCAGCAGAGCATACGAAGCATTCCGCCTGTGGCTGGCGCACGCGCAACGGCAATCCGGGGAGAAGTTGAAGATCTGGCAGTCTGACGGTGCAGCGGAATTCAGGAGCAAGGAGCTGCAGGATTACCTTGCGCAGAAGGGAATTGAGCATCACATCTCCCTCCCCTACGCGCACCAGCAGCAGGGCGTAGCCGAGCACACAAATCGAACCCTCATGACGAAGGGGCGGGCGCTGATGAAGCAGTCGAAGCTTCCGCCGACCTACTTGACCTACGCAATGCACCACGCCGTGCGGGTGCACAATCTGCTGTCAACCACCGCGATCATCGGCAACTCCTCACCGCATGTGAAGTGGACGGGGAGGAAGGGCGACACCGTGTGGGGATGCATGGTGCAGTACCGGTTGCCGACATCAACCATCGGGAAGTTTACTAGCCGCGCGCGCTGGGGGATCCACCTCGGCATCAGCCACGAGCACAAGGCATGGCTCGTTCTGGACCTCTTGAGCCAGAAAATCAAGAACGCGCGCGACGTCATCTTCTACGAGCGGCTCTTCCTTCGGCAATTCCGCGAAGACGAGCAGGCGAACGCGAACCGCGTCTACGCCAACGACGGCCACAGCTACGCCTCACCTGAAGACGAAGCCGCAGCAACAATTCTGGAGCAGGACCCCAGAGGCGAGTTCACGAGAGGCGATCGCAACGACGACGACGACAATTCTCCTGGAGGAGGAGCAGGCGGAAGCGGAGGCGGAAGCGGAAGCGGAGGCGGAAGCGGAGGCGAAAGCAGAGGCGGACGCGGAGGCGGAAGCAGAGGCGGAAGCGGCGGAGGCGCAGCACCACCACCAGCACCACCTGAACCAGAAAGCGACGATGACGATGTGCAGGAAGTCATCCCGCAGCACCGCCACAACAGCACCATCTCTGCACTTCAACTTCTCGGGCTCCACACCGCCACCTCAACGGCGCCACGTGTCATCGAGCCGAAGAACCCTCGCCAAGCACTCACAGGACCACACAGCAAGGAATGGCGCGAGGCGATGGATGCGGAAATCAAGGCACTTGAGTCCCGCGATACCTGGGTGCTCGTCGATCGAGCAGCAATCAAGGGGAGAAGGATCCTCTCCGGAAAATGGGTCTTCCGCGTAAAGACTGCAACTGACGGGACAATCGAGCGATTCAAGGCGCGCTGGGTAGTGCGCGGCTACGATCAGAGGCACGGCATTGACTTCGACCAGACGTTTGCACCGGTCAGCCGCCACACCTCCGTCCGGATTCTTCTCGCCATCGCTGCAGCACGACACCGCTCCGACAAATCGACATGAAGAACGCGTTCCTGTACGCGTTAGTAGATGCACTGATCTACGTGGAGCAGCCGCACACATACGGCGAAGGGGATTCACGTGTCTGCCAGCTGAGAAAATCCCTTTACGGGATCAAACAGGCGCCGAGACTCTGGCAGCAGTACCTGCACAACATACTGCTTGAGATCGGGTTCAAGCAGTTGCCTCACGATCCTGGGATGTATCGCCACGATTTCCGCGGCGAATACATCCTACTCACGGTCTACGTCGACGACCTCCTCTACACAGGGTCAAGCAACGAGTTGCTTGAACACTTCAAGAAAAACCTCGCAGGACGCGTCGACATAACCTGCAACCATGACGTGAAGCAGTTCCTCGGGCTCAACATCACCTACTCACCGGAAGCCATTCATCTCTCAGCAGCCAAGTACGCAGAGGAGCTTAGCAAGCACTTCAACATTGCGCCTGCACCACTCTCCACCCCTTACCGCACTCCAGGACCCAACCACAAGTCTGACAACAAAGCCCTGTCCCCTGCTGGACTTCACACCTATCAGCAGCAGTTGGGATGCCTGCTCTTTGCATCTGTTACCTGCAGGCCCGACCTCTCCTACATCGCGAGCCAGTTGGCTCAGTACTCTCGCAAACCAACGGCTGAGAATCTGCTAGATCTCCAGTGGGCACTTCAGTTCTTCATCTCCACGCCCAATGTTGGGCTCTGCTACTCTACCATCCCAACCTCGTCCTTCAACCTCATCGGCTACGTGGACGCTGATCACGCTGCTGACCCCGACAATCGACGGTCCAGGACATGCTTCCTTTTCCGCCTCGAGCCCAGCGGCCCCGTCTCCTGGAATTCACAGAAGCAGGAGCTGGTTGCCCTGTCATCAGCGGAAGCTGAATTCATCGCAGCAACAGCAGCCGTTCGCGAAGGCCTCTACCTTCAGGAGCTGCTGCAGGAGGCGAAAATTCCAGCCTCGGCTAACTTTCGTCTGCACTGCGACAATCAGAGCGCGATCAGGATCGCGAACAAGCCGGAATTCGTCAACCGCACCAAACACATCGCGCTGCGGTACTTCTTCGTTAAGGACGAAGTTGACAAGGGCAAGGTTGTCCTATGGGTGACATGGCAGCTGACTTCCTCACAAAGAAGCTGTCACGTCAGCAGTATCAGCACTGCTCCGAACTCAACGGGGTAGTCAAGCGGGTCAAGACTCGCTACGGCCAGGAGTGAAGGGGGGTGTTACGAATAGTGATTATTGAAACACTACTGTGCACTCCTCACCGCAGCAATCGAAGCACGCACTACCGAGAATGAAGGCGAAAGGGCGGAAGAGACGCGAAGGGTCACATGGTTACGAAAGCATCTGGACCGTCGGGCAGACAACATCAGGCAGCAGAAGTGGCAAGGATTCTGCCCGGACAGTTTCGTAACTGTCTGGAGTCACACGGTTGGATTTCGGTGTAATAAGGGAATGTACCCCTTAGAGTACATTGCTAGCAGGTCGTTTGGTATTCCCTTGTAATCTTATTTATAGTGCTGTATTTGCATGTTTTAAATTATCTCAAGCATTTACATTCACTCTGCTATTGAGGTCAAGGGCCCACCACCACTACTCAGTTGTGTGCGAACCTTCCTGAGGTGATGATCAACTTCTGATCGCAACACATGCAATGATGTACCGTACAATGAACCAGGGCTGACGTTTTGATTTTGACCCCCCCTGAATCCCCCTACATTTTCTTTCCCCTCTGATGGTACTTCGGCCAGATTTTGGCCAGTCTGATTGCTGCTCAGTCTCCAAGAAAGCGTCTCTATGTTCATTCAGTGTTGGCAAGCTAGAATCAGTGTCTACCAAAAAAAAAAAAACAATCGCCGTAAGTGACACAAGATCCCCGTTACAACACTAGTACATCAACTACTATCTGGCAGACATGCTACACTACACATTCCTCTAGTGAAGGGGCTTGTCAATGTGGTAAGTCTCTTCCCCCTCCTCCTCGCCACCGGACAGGAAGGGGTTGTCGTCTTCGTCAGAGTAATCTCGGGGTGGGGACTCTTCGATCTCTGGATCCAAAACCCGCTCATCTCCATCATCGTCGGACTCCGCGTACTCCTCCTCCTCTTGCATCAGCTCGCTGGGTCCCGCCTCTTCCTCCTCCGGTTCCTTCCCTTTGCGCTTCCGCTCATCCGCAGGGAAAACGACACTCTGCGCCGGGCGCCTCTTCTTGAGGCTCTGTCCAGCACCCCAGGCCAGTCCATCTCGTACTCCAGCAATGAAATCTGCATCAACTCTGCCAGCCGGGCGTTGCACAACGACCCACAGGCCCACGATTTGATGGCTTTCTGGCGCGAGAACCCCCTCTCGCACTCCACGGTTGATAGCGGCAGAACTGCCAGCGCCTGCCACAGCAGCAGCAAGCTGGGCCAGTGCCTGCCAAACAAAAGGGGGGAAACACGGATAAGCAAACCCCGCAGGCAGAGGGGTAATAACAGTCGCACACGCTTAGCAGTGTGATTAACCTTATCGCGTCGCCGCTTGCCACGAAGTTTGCCAGGCCTTGCACGAAGGACTCCTCCTCGTGGTGCGTCTCCATGATGGGGCACCAACTTGCGAGCTCCCGCGAGGCTGACTTGATGTCAAACCCCGGGAGCTTGTTCTTGAACAGCGCGCTGCAGCCAGTCAGCCTATCCTGGCACTTGTGTTCGTGGGCGTTCTTGCTCTTCGACCACTTCGAGGCACGAAACAGCTTCGACGGACCCCTCCCCCGCAGATCGTCCAGTCCAAAGAGCAGCGTGTCGACGCAGTCCTTCGCGAATTTGCACCCAAGTTTCACACAGTTGTTGTAGTCGCTCTTGTAGATGTGGCCCTTGATTGTCCGCTCGTGCAGGGTCTACGTGTGGTTAATCGACCGCCCTTCGTTGTCCACGCCACGCACGCGCACCTTTTGGCCCGCCCGCTTCCCATACAGCGTCATGAACTTCGGCAGCCACCCGTTGCCAGTTCCACCGAAGACGACCTTGGTGTCGAGGGTAACTGTGCGCGAGGTCGTTGGTGACCGACTCGACGGTCTTCGCCACCTCGGTGACGCCCACCTGCTCATAAACAATAGAGACGGTTAGAAGATGCTGGTACTTGGCAAACACAGGCAATCACATGTTTGAGGCTCACCTGGCGCTTCTGGAATGAACGGTTGAGGACGTTCATGTCGCCGAGGATGTCAGCGAGGAGGCAGAACTGGAACTTGTACGACGTCACCACCTCGTACATGTCATGCTCTTTCTCGTGACGGAGCACAAACGTGGCTCCGAGCACCTTGCATAGTCGCTTCACCGCGTCTCCCCTCAACAACCAGCGCACACTGTGGATGCCCTGGACCTCAAGGTTCATGATGTAGATGATGCGCTGCAGGTACTTGAACCTCTGGCTCAAGCGGCTTGAGCTGCCGAGGCGTTCCGCCAGCGTCTGCACCACTGTCTCCCCATCGCAAGATCCGGATAAGCCGTCGCCACATCTTTCACCGCTAATGCCTCCCTGCAAGCTGCAAGTAAATGCAAACAACATGGTTAGCAACCAACCATGTGAATAACAATCTGAAGGAGCTAACATCCGGGATGGTCTCACCTGTGTGCGATGCACTGGATTGACACCAGATGCGGCACATGTTCCCGAAGCCGAGTCACGAGGCCGTTGTCGCATCCGATCATAACCGAGGCTCCGTCCGTGCTGATGCCAACCACCTTGTTGATGTCAATGTTGGTAGTGTGCAGGTGGTTCAGCAAAAACGCCAGAAGCGAGGCTGCATCACACTTCTCAACAATCAGAAGGGTTAGATACTCGGTAACGACACGACGCTTGCGCAAGAAAGCGATGTACACAATCATATGTTTCCCGCGAGTCCTGTCAGTGCTCTCATCTGTGCTCAAGCCGAGGAAGGGCGACGATTCGATGTACTGCATCTGCGTCTGAGTCAGGTAGGTGATGAGGCAGTGCACCATTGGCTGGAACCCGTATCTGCAAACCAGTGGAACAAAGCTCATTCAGTAATAAAACAATCGATTGAATGAGCTTGCGCACAAAGTAAAATATATCACACATTCCTCGTCAGGTAAACCCCGTAGGATTGTTTCAGGATGTCGGGGGTGTCCTGCTTAGCGAGATGCCGCATCAGTTTCGGGAACACGCTGATGGGCGCGTCTTGTTGGCACAGAAATTGCACCGACCTCATCAGCCACACCACCCGCCGTCCCTCCACATCCGCGTTTATGAAACGGTCTAATGGCCTCCACAATCTCCGCCTGTCGCTGCATCGCCTCCTTGTGTATGGACGTGTTCTTGTAGATGCGCATCGTCTGCGTCTGCAAGTCTCGTCTGCCGTCTCCAGAACCATAATACTTCGTAGTCTCCTTGCTGTACGAGAAACACACGCTGCACTTCAGACTGGGGCCACCATCTTTGGCGCGAAGCAGGACAAGCCATGGGAACTTGGGCAACCACTGACTCTCATACTTCAAACTTGCCTCAATGTAGCTTTGACCCGGCCTTTGACAGCAGGGGTGATTTTGTGTCATCGCGAACAGAGATCTCCTCAGGTGCGGGCTCCTCCTCGGCCTCTGGTGGTGGCACGCGCACACCGCCAAACGTAAGCGTGCTCTGCTGGAACTTTCCTCGGAGGTGAGTAGTGCGCAGATTCTTGGTAGAACGTCCCTCAGACGCGGGAGCGGCAGCGTAATCGCCGCTGCTACCAACGGCTGAGGGCGGGGCTTTACTAGAAGACGAGATGGTCGGAGGGAGAGTAAACGCCGCATGTGCATGCTCTACAGTGGGGACAGGTTGTGAGCCTTTGCTGGACGACGCGACGTTGTGAAATCTGTTATGTGATGCTATCATTTGCATTCACGTCTGTCTGCCTCCCATCATATGTCTTGTGCATTGCATGCGTGGTGTGAGCGTGTGCAAGAATTGTGTTTGGTGTGGTTTGGATTTTCTGAGTGCGTGTGAATGTCATTTGGCTTGGGCAGATATCTGAAGTGACTCCTCTGCTCAAGAGCTTTCCGACGAACCAAGAATCGTCGCGATCGGAGCAAGAACGACGAAGTTATGTTCGTTCAAAGTTTTGATTGGGATGCGACGACTTTGGGAAGTTGTGAAGTGACTCAATATGGGGTACAGACTTTTGGGGGTTGGGAAATTCGTCCCCATCACTGTAGATGCTGCCAAGTGGTTGGGAGAAACCAAATTGGGTTGGCAAGTGTGGCCAACTTGGGTGAGGTGGATTGTGGAGGTTGGGAATGTGACAAATGTCAAAGTTGGGTTGCCTAGAGAGAGGGGAATTGTGTGGCATGGGGTTTCCTTGGTTGGGAACTCTCTTGGGACCTTCCCTCTCGTCCTCCTCACCCCCTCCTACCTGGTTTCTAGCTACTCTAACTTTCTTGTGTGAACTTGTGAGACAATTGTGATTAAGTTTCTATGACAGCATACCCCCTAGTGCGCCGAAATTCATAACTCGAGTTATACTCCATATTTTGATACGATTCAAACTGGGAAAGATAGCCACGATCAAGGGCTACAACATATTCGAGTTTGAAAGAATTCTAAAGGTGCGGTATTCGTCGACGATGTTTCTTGTGACGACGACGTTTCTGTCCAGAATAATAGTTGACGATTTTGAGATATTTCGGCCCCTAATCTTCATAGACTCCGTCCTTAGTCTCTAACAAGTGGTATCAGAGCTGATTAAGGACTTTGTGGAGAGTCTGCTGAAGTGTGAAGACCCTCCTAGACCCACCATGGCCTGTGGGCATGCCTAAGTGGAGTTCTAGAGGTTGGATGTGACTTCCGCTAAGGGGAAACTCTGCCGAAATTTCGTTGGCGCCGACACTTGTGAAAATATTGTGGGACTTCGTTGTGGACAGCAAAGGGGGAGCTGGAACATGTGATTGGGAGCAGAGGAAATGAGTCAAGGAAGTGGAGATGCAGCTGAGAAGAGGAATGAGCCGCCACCATCCAAGATCGAGGCATTGGATGGCTCCAACTATGAGGAATGGAGCGGGCGGATGCGGAGTGCGTTTAAGCGCTACAAACTGCTGAAACTTGCGATGGGAGAAGAGAAGATTCCGGAGGAAGGCGACGCCCGCGATCGGTGGATTGAGAAGAGCGCGGTGCTGTACGACCTTATCCTCCAATCGGTCAACAACGACATGTTCCAACACATCAAGGATTTGGTGGAGTTGGATGATCCTGGACCAAAGGCGTGGAAGCTACTGCGCGACGTGATTCAGCCCAACACGCTGCCGATGGTGATTGTGTTGGAGAAGGAGCTGGCTGCCCTCTCCATGGGACCGGGAGATGATGTGAAGCCGGTCCTTGACAAGATCAAGGACACCTATGCGAGGATGGCAGCGGCGGGCAGCAATGTGTCGCAGATGCAGCAGTGCACCAAGATCATCTCGGTGCTCGACAATTCGTGGGATAACTCCATCCCCACCCTCAACGTTCAGCAGGACAAGTGGACGCCTGAGTGGCTACGGCAGCAGATCCTGCAGGAGGACTTCCGCAGGCGCCACACGGGAGGTGGTGCTGCCAACAAAACTGCTGAGGGGTATGGAGCTGCAGGTGGCAGCAGAGGAAGAGGGGGAGGGAGAGGCCGAGGCCGTGGGAGAAGCTTTGGCAGAGGGAGAGGCCAAGGTGACTACAATGAGGGGCATGGGAGCTCTGGTGGCAGGGGGAGCACCCGAATGGAGGGTGCGTGTTGGTACTGCAAGAAGGCTGGACACCCATGGTTCAAGTGTTTCAGCCGGCCTGAAGGATGGGCGCCTCCAGGCATGAAGCCGCCAAGTGGTGAACGTGCACGAGGTGGCGCTGTGCAAGGTTCAGGTGCACAAGGTGTTGGTGCACAAGGTAAAGCCGACCCTGGGATGTTCCTTATGGTTGAGGATGTGAAAGGGAGTGAGGGTGATGTGGGCTCCGTTGGGAAGGTTGTGATGCACCCCCTCACTCACTGGGTGATCGATTCAGGTTGCACAAGTCACATGACCCCACGGGCAGATTTGCTTGATGAGGTGAAGCCCCCTGGAAAGATCAAGTTTGTGGCTGCCGCTTCAGGTGCTTTGTTCCCTGTGATTGGTGTTGGGAATGCCAAAGTAATGGGAGCTAAAGGGGGGCTTATGGGGCTTGGAAATGTGCTGTTGGTTGAAGGTTTGTCCGCTAACCTCCTCTCTGTGCGCCGGCTGCAGAAAAGCAAGGCCAAAGTTACGTTCGGCCCAACCAGCTGCCGTGCAAAGCTTGGGAAGTTGCTGCTGTGGGATTTGGAGGAGAAGAGCAGCTGCATCAAGGACCTATGACAGCTGCCCATCATCCCTTGGAACGGGAAACCACCAGCAACGGCAGCGGCTGCAGCAACGGCTAAGGCAACTGCGGGGGGAGAGGAGACTGCACCAACTGATGGGGCCCTGGATGCAGTCAAGAAGGTGCAGCAGCCACAACAATCACATGGTGAGGTGCTTGCTGGTGTGGATGCAACAGCTGCATGGGCAAAGGCTTCATCTGGGAGTGGTGAGGCCGATTGGGAGACGTGGCACGAGAGGTTGTGTCACATCAACATTCCTATGCTGCAGAAGCTGGTAAAGGATGGGAGCTTGAAGGGGCTGGAGGTGAAGGGGGCAGCAAAGGAGATTGGGAGCTGCCCTACATGCCTTGAAACTAAATTCACCAAGTTTCCCTTCAGCAGCAGCACAGGACCAGCCAAGGCTCCACTTGCGCTTGTGCATATGGACGTGGTGGGCCCCACAAGGGCCCCTTCTCTCTCGAGCAGCCGCTACTTCTTGACCATTGTGGACGACCACACGCGTGCGGTGTGGGTCTACCCTCTGAATACTAAGGGGGAGGTGGCAGTGGCTGTTCTTAAGGAGTGGATGCCGAGAGCTCAAAGGGAGAGCGGACACAAGGTGAAGGTGATCCGCACTGACAACGGGGGAGAATTCATTGGCGCTGATTTTGAGGCGGTGCTGAAGAAGAAGGGGATCCAGCATCAGCTCACGGTGCCCTACAACCCTCAGCAGAACGGAGTGGCTGAGCGGTTCAACCGGACCCTGCAGGAAGGTGCTCGCACTCTTCTTGTGCGTGCAGGGCTGCCGGATCCGTTTTGGGTGACTGCACTGCGGCAGGTCGCTCTTGTGAAGAACCGGGTGTTGGCGACTGTGGGGGACAAGCAGTGGGTCCCCTACACCAAGTGGTATGGGAGTGCGCTGTTAGAATGTAAGAAACAGGAATGGTTGAACTAGCAGGAAGTTGGGTACAAGTAGTGAAACCCTAAAGTGTTGTACCCCATATTGTCTAACCCACTACAGCCTAAACAAGCTATAGCATATAAGTTTGACACACCCCCATAG